AAGCAGGCTGCCATTCTCAGGAAAACAGGGACTTTACTGAAGGCCTGGCATGCATGTAAAAATAAACTTTCTTCTCCCAGTGCTAGAGGGCCAACCCTCCAACATCTCAACAACCTTGCTTGCTTTGGAAGCTTTCCAGTCACATCTTTCTGTACATGCTACCAAATATATATTTTACAAGCTCATTTTCTTGGTTAGAACACCGCTGTTTCAAGCTTACTCCATTAATATTTCATGTGAAAATAAACCTCTCCTAATTTCTAGAAAACAACAGATCCCTGGCAACAAATAGTAGAAACCATTGTCATTAGTATTTCACTTTGATTGAAGAATCGAATAGTGTGGAGGGCACACTGAATTCTCCTTTGCAGGCTTCAAGAAAACCCATGTCTCAAAGGACAGTCTTCTTCTCCAAAATAAAAGATTTCAAATATCTCTATTACCAGAAAGTTGAGGGAAAAACAAGACAGCAGTCGAGACCATTGTAACTACTACAATCACCTACTTCACATCAGAAAACATATCTCCTTCATATCCCACTGCTATTAAAAGCCATGCATTTTGAAATACAACTAATCCCACTTTTATAGCCAACTGACTAGAACATCCTTCTAAGATAGAAGAGCATTAGTGTTCATTTGATCCAAAATCACCCACCCTAAAATAGGGAATCTTCACTATTTTAGAATTAAAAAATGCGAGCAAGAGCTCAAGGAAAGTTTGGGTGTGGAAGGGCTTGAAACTGCTTTGAAGTCACGAGAAATACGAAGGCTCCAAACTCAATCACACAAAAACCAGACTGGCAATTTGTCAGAAGCCAAAGGGCTGCAGCTAATTATTCTGGTTCTGCATAGCTTGTGAAACAAAAATAAATGCATGTCTCTATCAGAGGTACTTGTGATGATTTCCACTTCAGTGCACATGTTTTCACTCTTACATTCTTCAAACTAAGCCAACAGATTTTTCCTGAAAAACAAGGTAGATGTTCTTTCTCTCCCTTACCAGAGCACAGTCATAAGAAACTGGCTACTTCACTAGCTAAAGAAGAACTGACAATTTTCAGTCCTAAATTTTGCCTGCCACTACTTTGAGTGATGGAGGGCTGGAAATTGAACAAGACCAGAAGAAGACACTATATAAAACCCTTATTTGTAGATGCCATTACATAAAATAGCTTTTTTTAATGATAAACACCTCATCAGCCATCCACTACATAGCTTCATAAGCAGTCTTTCCCTTGAAACAGTGATGAATTGATTAAGAAATGCTTCAGTTTAAGCATTTTCTGGCAAGTCCCCCCAATGCCAGCACAAGAGCTGTTCTGCCTCAGCCTTGCCAGCTGCTGCCTGCCTAGCAACTGCCTGCAGGCCATGGCAGATAGGCTTTGGTCATGTCTGTCACCTGCTCAGGGCATCTCTACCCTTCTCTGGCCACCAGCTCAAGCCACGCCAGCTGAGCAGGCAGCTGTGAATGGTGGGAAGAGCCAGTAAGAAAGGAGAAGGTTTGGAACTGCCACAGGAACCACAAGAGCATTTCATTCAGAATACTTTAAATGCATTTCATTCAGAATACTTTAAATAAAGCTGCCTTTCACTGGAAGAGAGCCAGCAGCCCCAGCCCTGCTGACCACCTTTCATGGCTCCTGCCTTCATGCCCACACGACAGCACAAGCCAGTGGCCCCACAGCCCTTCCCAGAGAGCTGCAGCTGAAATTCCTGCAGCACAGATTGCAGCACAGACCCCAGCTGCACTGGGGCTGGAACTGCAACAGGTTCCCTGGGAGAAATGGGACACATCCTTCAGTCTCTCCTCCTGCAAAACCAGAACAAGAGTGCTTCCTCACCTTATGGGGTACCAACAAGTAAGCACTAATTCAAAAAGCTCCCTGACACTCAAGTGATCCCTGCTTTAAAAAAATAAGTAAATGCCCCATAATAAGGTAAGAGAGACAGCACAGAATTCTGTTAAGAGCCCATCTTGAAAAGCTAGTAAATTGCTTTTTTGGTTTTTTCCTTGTAATATAACACTGGTTTATGGCTGCCCCACTGACTTGGATTTAAGCTGCGGAAAGCAAACCTAGATCCAAAACATTGCCAGATTCTAAGGATGCTTCTACTCAGAGTTTTGCCATGTCCACCGGAAAAACAGAAATTAATTAATCCTATTCAGGCTCCCAAATGTTTGGGTGCAGGCTCAGACTCATACTGTCTTTGGAAAGTTCATAACCTTGAAAGCTTTTTACTTAATTAATCTACTGTACCATCTTCTAAGCCAGCTAGCTTGGTGGATGTTACTCAGTTGTACTATATAATGTTGCACATTTCAGCTCTTGCACCTTGAGTTCACAGTGAATTCTTATGTTAGAAAATAATCAGTATTTCTAAAAAAACCCAATTATTTACCACCACACAAGTTGAGAGGTTTTCTGTTTGTTTTCAATGTGATGCTTTAATTAAGGTCTTACTGCTAGATAAAGGAGAATGCCTGCTTAGCATCCCACTGCCACTCTTGTTTTATTTTTCTTTGGAGGATGTGCCTGTCTCCCCACTCAACAAAAATAGAAACCTGGAACCACTCTCTCAGCTGAAAGTGGAAGTCTGAGAGAAGACAAAACACAAAACCTGAACACAAGTCATGAAATGTTAATTGCTGTCTAGCAGCAGCTCACTCAATCTATAAAGCACAATTAGCTCTAAGAAAGCAAAATAAAAGAATTTAATCTGTCTAGCCAAAGAAGAGAGGACTATCCTAAATCCTCCCTGCATGAGGGAAACAGAAGTCACACAGATGCTTATTTGAAGACTTCCAAGACTTTGCTTTAGTAGTAGAAAATCCTTTCCTGCTCCTGTGAAACATCTTTGGAAAAGAATAATTTGATGTACGTTCACAGAAGTCAGCACATACCAGCGCCTCGTGGTTTGCTCTCTAGAAGCCAGTAACTAAACCTTACCTTCCAACTCACTACTTCTTACTGGAAAGCAAGTCTACTTCAGAAAAATTCTGAATTTATGTAAAAAAGAAATCAGGTAAACATCCTGTGTATGTTGAGTTTTGATTTACCTGGTTGCTCTGTAACAGGACGGGTTCTTTAAAGGAGAAGGGGAAGCAAATCAAAGAAATGCTGCTGCTGCTTGACACAGGAAGACAATATTCCCTCTGTCAAATAAACCCTGTGCACCAGACGGACATCAAGACAATCCTTCATCTGGAAGCAGGGCTAGGGGGACAGATCATGCAAGGTGCCTCAAGCAAAAGATTTTAGCAATAAGGGATGAGCCAAGAGCCCATTCCTGATACCTTCCCTACTGGCTGAAGCACACTGGGATATATGCAGCAACATGCAAGTGATAGGCAAAGGGTGATCATACACTTCTATACATCCTGTTCCAGCAGAGCAGCAGGCACCAGGGATTGAGGTATTTGGGGCCTTTGGGGCACAAATTCCCACTATAGATCAGTCTGATATCTCAACCACACTGTCGAATATGAGATGATAAATTATGAGAGCATAAAGCATTTTTATGGGGACAAAGTCCTGTCCAGTTCTGTCCAAATGTTTCCAAAAATGCTCTTACAATAAATAAATATTTTCCAATAATTTTGTAGCCATTAAGCTACACAAACCTATGGAAAGATAATAACTTTAATCCATTAGGTAAAATGGAATCTGCCCTCTGCTCAACTAATGGATGCATCACTGAATTCATCTCATATCAGCCCCTTGCTGCATAAATGTACAGTGCAGGTGCAAGGCACATATAACATGCAGGCATTGGACTGTAATACATTGAGGTATTAAATAATAATGTCCCCTAGACAGTGACACAAATATGGGCTAGCTTTCTCCCTGTGCTCCTGATCGAGCTGCGCTTTGTAAATGCTGGTTTGTTTTTATCAATCTGGTAATGCCATTATCAAAACTGATGAAAGAAACTGCCCTTTAGCTTTGAGCAACAGGAGGTACAGGAAAGGAAGATGATGCAGCAGTGGTGATAGGTTAAACACAGCCAGTAAAGTATATGCCCTTTGTCCTTCTAACACAACACAGTTCTCTGACAACCACTCATGACTGAAAGACATACTCTCCATTTTAACTAGCAATGAGAAGTTTTTAAGTCTTTTCTGACAGTGGATTCTTTAAAATAACATGGCCTGATATTTCAATTTATTTTAAGTGCTTTTCTCCTGCTCCCTGCTGGTGTTGGGAAGCATCTCCCACATGGATTTCAGAGCAACCTTAATTACCCAAGGCTAACATACCATTTTCCTCCTCTCTTTTCTATTGCTGCTATTGAGGCAGTGAGGAACTCACCACTTCAGAGTTCAAAATGAGCACCAGGTAAGTATCAGCAAGAGTGAAATCTATCTCATACAGCTCTTCTAAGCACACAAAATAAGCCAGAAAGAAGGAGGGAGCATGCTTCCCCTTCGTGTTTTAGAGCTTATAGTGCTCTATGTTACAGCTGACATGTAACATAATTCCTTTCACAAGCTGACACCATCCTTTAAGTAACATCTTGTGTGAAATATGACCATTCAGAGCTGGGAAAGAACAAATGTAGCCAACACCTGAACTTATCTGTAGAAGGGCCACAACTTGAAAGCACTTTAGTATCATTTCTCTGCTCACTCGGTTACAAGAACATTCCTTCTGCCATAGCTTTCTTTTTTCAAAGGGCATATCCTGTTTCTGTTAATTGCATTCTGTGAATGCAATTAAAAGACTAACATCACCTAATCAACTATCAGAACTTATTAATTGACAGACACAAGAAAAGCCTAACTGCATTGCCACTTTCACTAGGGCACCTATTAAGCTGGACTGCATGTGGGTTCAACACAGGCTTCATGAAAGGGGAATCCTGTCTATCCAAAAGCAGTATCTGTCATAAAGAACTGAATGGAAAGAAAAATCATTAAGCCCAGGTCATATTGGCATCCAAACGACAGCATTTAAAATCAGTAAGCCTTCGTTACAAGAAAATAGAACCTTTACTCACCTGCACTACTTCTACGCCTCTTTTCCTGAAAAAAAGAAAAAAAAAAGGAAATGTTAGTGTTGGAAATGTGGGGAAAATGTAAAACCAAAAACTAATGGAAAAGCACTGCTTCATACTGGAATGCAAACAATAAAAATCTGCACTAACAACCTGATTCAAATTCAGGAAAGCACTTGTTCAGTTCCATTCCCTGTCTAGGAAGCACTTTGGCAGATTCTGACTCATGTCCCCAGAAGTAAGGCAAGATGAATACTAAGCAGCTGCAGTGCTGGGACTGACAGGGCTGTTAGGTGAGCACAGGTAGGAAGTGGCTGATATTACAGAGGAAGCGTCTCAGTTTTAATTAGATCTAGTTTGCTTTTCGTTTCTCATCTGCCCTCAGAGTGTGCAAATTGCACCACAGCACATTCTGCATGCTTGACATATCTTTTCTTTTAAATCAAGGATACATGTATAAATGTCAAGGAGAATTAACACAGCACCTTGCAGCCATTTATCTTCTTATTTAGAGTCTTATTCTATCCCCATCATCTTGGTACACAGGATCCCACCCTGGACTTCAGGTTCAAAGACTTGCAGTCAGTCCAATTCCTTCAAGAGCACAATTCAAATACTTGAGGTTTATCAGAAAGGACCAAGCCTTTTGCCATATGGAGAATCATTTCAGTGATCCTGAATCTTCAGCAATGAGAGACTGGAGAGGCCTAAGAATTATACACCAAAATGCTGAGAACTGCAATTGGTAGAGCCAACTTAGGCAGATCTGTAGAGACAGTTGTCTACTCTGATGGTATGAGAATTGAGATTCAGGTACATGCAGTCAGACAACACTCAGTCACTGCCTTTGACAAGCTATCAAGCCAAACAAACCACTTCTGCACTAGGCTTGAGAGCAGAACTGAATCCCTGGCACAAAGCCCAGCCACTCCTGCTCCATGCCCTCCTCCCAGTACATGCAGGCTATTTAAATAAGTTAGAATCTTCTCACTTTGAAGACACAGGAAATTTAACCTAAAAATGAAAAGCCTCTGAGCACAAGACAGGAATCTCTCTTCTTTGTGCCCACTAGCCCTATATATGAAAATCAAAAGTCCCCTTTTTTTGGGAGGTCATAGAACAGGACTGCCTAACTGCCCTCAGTGCTTTTCTATCTGAGAGTGTCTGTGTTGTTGTCCATGGTCACAAATGCTGCACACTGCTGAATACACAAAGGCTCCTCCAGTTTTCCACCCAAGACAGTAGGCCTTTCTTCTGGGAGGCCATTACAAGGATGCCCAAAGGGACAGGCGATCAATCAGCATCTATGACACAAATTGCCCCCTCTTCCACTTTACCAGTCTGGAGTCTCTCTGGCCTAGAAGCAGCATTCAATGCACAGACACAGCAGAGAGCCTGTTGTGAGAGCTCAGCAAGGAAATAAAAGAGAAAATGAAACCAAGCACCTCTTGCAAAGAATTTCAAAGCCCTCTTGCAGATAACAGCAGCTCTAAGTGGTGGGTGATTAATATACTGCTATTATGGTGTGGGAAGCCCAACTGTAGATCATCACCTGAGGCTGGCCAGATGTGCTCCAGCTCTGTGGTGAGAAGAAAATATGAATCTTGTAGAGAAAGTTAATAGCCAAATTGTTGAAACCATGATTTTCACAGAGCAAAGCAAGAAAAATAGGAAAAAATAGGTGGGGAGTGCTATTTCATAAATTAGGGCAGCAGACTACTCAGAAACATTCCAAGTATTGTAAGCTAAAACTTAAAATAATCAAACATTTTTGCTCTCTGTGCTCTGGAGTAAACAAAACAACTCAAAACTACCATGGAAATACACCAAGCTTCAGACAAAACTGCACCACAGTCCCTGGAAGGACAGTGACTGATGGCAAAAGCTGCATTTCTTGTCATGCCTACATACACACTGAATAAGTTTTATTCTACTTTGAGGAATATAAATATTTGTGAGCTGGGTGCCAAACCCATTTGAGAAAGAATCAGTCCAAATGGTTTCTGTAATCCCCCCAAAATGAACTTTGCAAACGTTCTGGGACTTACTGGAACCAACTGCACTGTCCCAGCAGGAGGGAAGAAGCCAGAACAGCACATGGGAATGCAGAGGAGGGGTGCCTGCTCTTAGGTACAATGCCACACATGCTTAAAAAGGTACAGGAAGAAGGAAGCAATTACCAAGGCTGGCTTGTAGGCTGGTCTTCCCCTTTTCAGAGGGGAGCAGGATGTCCTTTTTGTTACCTGAAATATGAGAACCTTTTCTACTTAAACCCAGGGGACAAGAAACCATAGAAGCATTTTGAGGACTAGGTAATTTGGGGAAAAAATCCTCTACCAAAATATCGTAATTTGAAAATAAGTTATTTTAAAAACAAGAAGTATCCAAACAATAAGGATGTCAAGCCACCATGCACCTCAGTTTTGTAATTAGCTGATTCTCTGCCCAGAAGATTTCCTAAGCCAGTGCCTTCAGGCTTTTCAGTCAGGCAGGTCACAGCAGCAGGCTCAGGGCAGAAGATGTCCCTGATGCAACCAAGCATGCAATACCACCTGACCACACACGCTGCCTTACATCACCTGGGAAAGGCTTTGGGGTCAGGCATGGAAAGAAAGCTGATCCTATGCACTAGAAACTCTAGGACCTTTAAAAATCAGAGTAAACAGAGAGAATGAAGCAGACTGTGGGCCATAGTTCCCCAACAAGGGGTTGCCTGTGCAGGACACACAATGGAGACAAGACAGTGCTGAATGAACTGTGCTGGGAGTCTGAGCCATGGACCAGTTACCACTTCTTCCTATTGTGCTTTAAAAAGCCAGTAAGAAAAATACATTCTACCACTCTCATGTACATTCTTTTGGGCTGTTTCCTCAGCAGAGGTCAGGCAGGGCATGATTGACAGGACAGCCTGGGATGACTACTTCACCTGGTGTGCTGACAACTATTCTCGTGTTCTTGGTGTTGTCCATGACTTTCTAGCTCCCCATGCAGTCTGAAAGCGAGCCACTGGCTACCAGGGGAAGGGCTCTCATTCCCAGCTGGCCTAGCTGCCTCCTGACAAATCTCTCTTTCTGAGGAAAAAGAAAGGTCATTATTAGCTGTACTTCCCTTCTGCCTCTGAAGAGGCAACTCAGCTGTGTCAAAGAGAGACTGTGTCTCTCTACTTTCATTGAATAGACATTTGAAAAATGGTCAGTTCTAAACTACATTCCCAGAGGTTACTAATTTTAAAATACTTCTAATTTCAAAGATTATCTACACACTGCAACATTTACAGGAAAACCAGAAACATTTAAGTAACTGCTGCATTAGTCTGCAATATCAAACAGATCCCTAAAGCCTGTTGAGGCTTATCAGTTCTATACCTGAAACCACTGAATAACTCTAGTGGATAATGCAACCCTCCCTGTACTCTATAGCAATTAAAGTAATTACCATGCTAGTTGACTTCATGTTTAAGTTGGAACGATGTATGGATTTAAAGGAGAATTCAATATCAAGTTACTAAAAGCACATTAATCAATGTCTTGTCTGGCTTTACCAGAGCCTCAAACTGTGTAGAATAGCTGGCTTTTGGGGTTAGGATTGGGTTTTTTTAAATACTCAAAGTAAACTGTTTGGACTAATTCCCCACAGCATCCAGGACTTGAATATCATAGTGAATGATAGTTAAAAGAGAAAAAATTACTATCAGGTTGCATATCATAGTCATGGTTAAATTAAGCAAATTGTTTTTCCTGTATGGTCTGAGCGACAGACTGAAAAATGCCAAATGGAATTTACAATTTCAAAAGTAAAGCCAAACTTTCTATCATACATGCAGTGAAGTTAACTTTTTCAGATATCACTTTGAAAATTTCCTATGTAAAGAAGTAGCAAGTAAGAAGAAGAAAAAGAAGAAGAATTTATTGCTTTAATCTTAAAAAAAGCATTTTCATAAAAAACCAATACACTGACATCAGAGGGAGCTTATAAATATTAATGCATCAGAGCAAAAATCTGTAGCCACTAAGACTTTCCAGCACACTGAAAACCAGCCAATACTGGAGCCCCAGCCTTGTGGATGGCCCATTTCCCCTCCTGGCACAAAGGCAAGCTCAGCTCAGTTGCCTTAGCTTTTCCATCAGCAGAATACTTTGCATTTTTTTTATAAAATATTTGTGACAATCCTTGCTTTTATTATTTTTCATCACTGATGGATGCCACCTTATTTTCTATCATGGAAAAAACCAAACAGTAGCTCCAGTATTTGGGTGCTCACTGTCCAGGGGCTCCAGCTCGCAGCCACAGCCATCAGTGCACGTGGACAGGGCATCTGAAACATGGCAGACTCAGCTGGAAAAAGAGGGAGGACCTTTTGTGGCTTGGTTTTTTGCACACAGATTATCAAGCAGGCAATTAATCAGTTATTTTTACCAATTAATATCCAACTAAGCTTACCTTTTAGCAAGCTTTTCCCCACTAATCTGTATTCTGGAAAGTTTTATGTCTGAAATGGATCAAAAGTTGGCATTTGGGGGAGAGAGTTCTCAATTTCCTCAGTCTGTAAAGCATCACACATGCAAAGAAGAAAGGCAATAAATAGCATGCACCTTTACAGTCTGGTAGGTACAGCTAATGCAGTACAGGAGAGAAAACATCTCACCTCAAACTAAGTGCTCTTTAGGTGGGCTGAAAAAACCCCAAGAGTTTGGGCTGTCATGGAACACCTTTCAAGTAGGATAAAACTCCACAGAAGGCAGCCACATTTGTGCATTTCTTCCTTGTTTGTATAAACAGGGAATAGTCTAAGTAATAGAAGACCTCATACATCAGACACTACAACACCCTAAGTGATTTTCACACCACGACCCCATTCACACATGACATTTGGTAGAACCATCTGATTGATATTCTCCACATCTTCAAAGCATTATATCATCCCATTTACAGCCATAAAAATGCTTCTTAAGAGTGCTGTTATCAGAACAAAGTGCCCTGAAAGGGACTAGAAAATAAGAGAGGATCTTGGTAGAGCTGAAGCAGTAT